GGGTCTCCGCGGGAAAAAAGTTTGTAACGTGAGTTCCGCTATCGCGAGTTTCGGCTTGCTTGTGCCGGGATGCGTCTTGGCTTTTGTTTCGGTGGCTAAATTTGTGCGGTGCTGTTCGGGAACAAATGCCTGCGTGATTGTGCATTCCAATTCGCGGATTGCCATTTTTGGGGAACCCGGCGTCGTTCGCTTGTCCGCCCTCCCCCTCCCCGCGTCTCCTCCATCCTTCTCCTCCCCCGTCCCCTGGAAAATGTCGGGCGCAGTGACGATTACTGCTCCCGCTCCGCGATTTGCAGTAGCCGGTCGGGGTGTCGCCGGAATGCAGGATGCGCTGCTCTGCAACAGTTGCGTTGCACTTCAAGACGGGCGCGTAGTGGGTACCGCCGAACTGGGAGCTCAGGATGGTGTCCAGCTGCTGCGTCTCAGTAGCGCCGAAAGTTGCATATTGGTAGCTCTGGCTGTTGTGTATGTGTGTTTGTGTGTGTGTGTGTGTGTGTGTGTGTGCGTGTGTGTATGTGTGCGCGTGTGTGTGTGTGTGTGTGTGTGCAGTGAAATAGTTTTTGGAGGAAGCCGAGCTGTTCAGGGCCGCCCAGTGGGCCGAAATCCGGGCCGGGAGTGGTGCCTGAAAAGCTTCCAGTATAAACCAGTCCTTATTTGCAACGATTTTCAGGTTACTAGACAATGCTTGGGTACCGGCGTTCGCGAGACGTGTAACGCCACTCACGGCCTACTGTTTCAGAATCTGAGAAGTTGTTTAAAGTTAATTTCAGGTAACTTTTATTAACATTGCTAACTTCTCCTGCTCAGCATCAGATTTCATGATGGGCCATAAAGAGCCTACACACAGGCCCTTTCCCCCGTAAACCCTACCTTTGTTCATAATAATTCTTGCCTCCAAGTAATGTTCTAGTCCCGGTCCCCACCTCTCCAAGATCTAAGCCACCACGCTGCCTCCCCGATCCTCATCCCCGTCTCTACCCCTCGCTCGCCCCCTCCGATCATTGTAATTCGCTTTCCGATCCGGCTGGGGCAAGTCCAATTTTAATAGTTGCGTGCCGTGAGGATGAAAGGCCGAAAACGAGTTATAAAAGGGCATCAAAAGTTTTCGAGCCGGTGATTGCACGGCAAAGGGCGCTTCCTGGGAGAAGGGGAATCCACCGAATGAGCACGTAACATTAACAGTGATAAATCATTTTTTATCATCATCATTAGCAGTGGTGGATTTCAGGTTCTGTTATCTCTGATGCTCAGCAGCGATGAGTGGCGAGGGTAATGCAGCAGCAGCAGCGACAGCAGCAGCAACAGCAGCAGCAACAGCAGCAGCAGCACGTCTGGTGACTGATTTAAATCCGTCTACGTTACAAGCGATGACCGCCGGTATCAGTGCGCAGATCGCCGACTCGAATGCCAACAAAATTGGCACGGACGATTCGGAAATAATGGAGGTCGAGAAACGACGAGCAGCCGCTGCTGCGGCTGCGCTCTACAGCGGCTTGTCCTCGACGATCAGCAAAACGGGCCTCGAAATCTCGCCGTCGTCGTCGTCGTCGTGCAAAATTGAAGATACACAAACGAGCACCACATCCGCGCTTACATCCGCGATGACAACCATCCAGTCGGCTGCTCTGGCATCATCCGAAGAAGAGGTTCCCACACCACCACCCTCACCAACGTCACGCAAAAATGCCGCTAAACCGAGGTTGGCTTTCAATTCCTCTCGCTGCATGCGACTGTGCCTGTTTTGCAACTCCTCTGTGTGCTAAATTGAATGGTGGGCCTGGACGGCCATTCTGAGCTTGGGCTGGACCCCTGTGTTGCCGCTGGTCATGATGAGGAACCGTTGCAAATTTTGTTTCAGTTTATTTTCACTGGCGCATGTATCGCACCGACTTGGCGAGCTCTGGTCCAGTGCGCGAGAGCGAGTATTTGGCGAAGATTACTGGATCCCGTCGGATTGTTATGAGGTGCGCGCTCACGCTATTCTCTTCTAATCGATCGTATCTTTGCGCCGAGTTAACACGTATTCATGTTCACTTGCATCAGTATCAAGTTGAAAAAAAAAAAAAAAATTCCACCAAAAAATTTCACATAACTGTTTTAAAGGTGGTACCATTTCCTGTGGAACTGTTGCGAGCCCATTCGGCCGTTTATCCACATGGAAGTAGCGAGAAGGGGCTGCGAGTTGTACATGGTACACTGAAGAATCGGCCAGCTGCGCCGCTCTTCCATGTTCTGTTTTCGAAAGAACGCGACGAAACAAACAGCAGCAGCAACAGCAGTAGCACCAGCAGCGGCAGCAGCAATGGACGAAATGAAGTGGGATTGCATGTAACACTAAGTATATTTCGAACTCATGAAATCCAGGAAGCGATTGATTTGTGCAATCGTTGCTATGATTGCGAAGCACTCTTCATGCTGCTAGGTAGTGACCATCTTCTTAATCTCAGGCGAACTTTTAAGTAATTTACCACTGAGTATCGCCCTTCTCAAATCGTCCTGGCCGGGGGTTTTTTTTCTTCGAGTACATCGAAACACATTATTTCTCCAACGCGCTTTTTTATTCAGATGTTGTGCCAGCATTTGTTCTACTTTTTTGTTCCTTTAGCTAGCAAATAATTTTGTTGTAAAATTTTGAAATTTCCAATTTTAGAAGCAATTTTTACAAACCGGAACCGCAAATTATTCGCGGTATTTCAATCTAAAAAAAAAAATCTGCGAATTAGTACGAGGAGGCATTTTTCGCAAAAATCACTGGGGAAAGGGATGGGTGGAAAAATGAGTTCAGTCGTCTCAGATCCATTAAGTTGTATAAATTTTCAAATCACTGAAAACAGAAAACGCCGTTTTTGTCTGATGACTGCCCAAATTTTTCAGATATGAGGCGAGATAATCGGCGACTTGTACGCGACTTGGTGACCGCTTTGCGAGCACATCCACTGTGGCTTATTGTACCTATTGCTGTTGCTACAAATCGCATTGATTTCTTCTCCAATGAAAGTATTCGGAGGTTTCAAGCAACAAATGAGGATCTGTTTGATGTGTAAGCTTCCTTCTAAAATGCTCTGTTGTTCTTGGGTCACAGCTACGGATTTTTTTTTTTCATTCTCCAGGTCCCTGTAACACACATCAGTAGCAGTCAAAAATAAAAGGCAGAAAACAGTTTTTGTAATTTCACGAATTTCAGGATGCTTCAAGCAGCTGCGCAGCCGGAAGGCCGCTATCCGTTGATGCTTGCTATTGAAATGCATCGATTGGAGATTGTACGAAGGCTTTTTGAGCTTGGCGCCGATCCGGCAGCACGTGATATCAATGGCAATAATGCGTTGCATTATGCAGCATTAGCTTCCGTAACAATGCTGGAATTGCTGTGGGAATTTGAGAAGACGCATGTTTTGCTGAATACAACCAATCATGACGGCTACACGCCCGTGCTCATTGCAATTCGAAATGCTAATCCACGAATTGTATCAGCATTAATTTCGCACGGTGCCGAAGTTAATATACGTGTTGCCGGGCGATCGCCACTGTTCGAAGCAATGCAGAATAAGGGCAAGTCGGCGGAAGTTATTCGAACACTGCTGGAAGCATCACCGGAGCTGCTGCATGAAAAAGATCCGGCCACTGGCAATACCGTTTTGCATGCTGCTCAGTTCAAGACTCCACTGATGGGACTGCTGTCCTTAAAACACAAAGAACTAAATTTGAATGCGCGAAATAATGCAGGACAAGCGCCTATTCATATGTACGTCAGTCGAGGTGACGTTGGTTAGTGTTTTTTCTCATCTCTGGATGTGTTGGATTTGTCTTTGGTCTGGTTTTGTAAGAGTATTCTCAGCAAACATTGTAAAATTGTTCACACTCACAAGAATTCATATACTTATTTCTTGAGCAATCAGAAGTCGATGCAAACATTTACGCATAAGGGTTGGATTCAACTCTGATATTATTTAAGGCATGGTGATGACACTGTCGTCGTACAATTGCGATCTGAATGTTTCGGATCGGAGTGGCGATACAGCTCTTCATTTATCCGTTTCCAGAAGAGATTTGCTAATGACCCGGTTACTGCTGTGCTTAGGCGCTGATCCAAACATACGAAATAAGCATGGTGAGACGCCAAGACATCTTGCTTCCAAGCTGCAAGAGTAAGTGTTTTTTTTTTTGCCTTTTCCCCGTTGTAAGGAATGAGACAGACAGACCTACCTTTTTAACAACCATGCCATTTTCAGGTGGGATTTAGTCAAAAGTCTTGCAATCTGTGGTGCCAATCGTTGTGAGAATGGCCGAAAAACTGGATGTGTTTCTGGATGTGTTAATGTAAAGAAACTGGATGAGATGAAGGATGCATCGTGGCTTTCGATAGAAAGCGCCGAAAATTACGTAATTCCTCGGACAGGCAGCACCGCTTTTGTGGATGATTTGGATGTAACTGTGAATATGCAAGCCACCAGTGCCATCCATGATTTTAAGCAAAAGGTTTATTATTATTAGTAATATAACGGTGTTGTAAGTGCTGTATTGGAACTCTGTACAATATATTGTGCTGTTTCAGTTCTGTTATGAGCGATTGACAAAAAGGCTGGAAGAGCTGCTGGGGAAAAAGGAAAACCCGGATTTTGTGAATTTATTATCGTTAGATGGCGGCGGAATTCGCGGCTTAGTTATCATACAAGTAAATCTTCCCATCCTTCATTTTTGCCTTTCAGCTTGAGTTTCAGTGAATTCGTTGAAAACAAACACAAGAAAATTATGATTCAATTAAATCTGATTACGTATTTCAGATGTTAATAGAATTTGAAAAAGTGATGGGCGAACCGTTTTATCCGTATTTCGACATGGTTGCTGGTACTTCCACAGGTGGAATTGTTGCTGCTGCTTTGGCTTTAGGTGTGTGTTTC